AAAGAGGTACCGCAAAAGCTAGCGACATCATTTGTTCTCCCCCGAGGACCGGGAGAGCCTTACTCTCAGTACCTTGGAAGAAGCAGGTGGGATGTGTGGTCAGGAGGGATCCTTTGGCTGGAAGAGAGAGTTAGTGTCACAGGAGAAGCATGCAAGGGTGGAGAATCTCACTCTGGAACAAGCAATATCCTGAAGAGGTTAGAGAACAGATGGATTGAAACTAAAAAGAAATTAGACCATCTGGGAGAAGGACTTCACAAAGCAGCTAGTCAGAAGCACAAAGGCACATGTGGGAGCCAATACCAAAGACATCCACAGACTCCTGAACTCTGCAATAGGACTGTGATGTTTCACAAGAAGGACAGAAGGGACCTTCAGGCACCTCAGTCCAAAGCTGCCACACAGACTGCTCAGTGACTACCTAACCTTGGAGGCAGAGAGACTTACACAGGCCTTTCCTAGTTTTACCTGTAATTTCATGAGTGTGCTAATTCTGCTGAGCGTGCCCAGACCTCCCATGGTCCATGCAGCTTGGCACCTATGTCTTGGCCAAGGTCTAGACACTCAGAGGGGCTGTGTCAGCAAAATCACAGCAGTTTTCCCCTGGGTGGCTTGAGTGACAGCAGAGCAAGAGCAGCACATGCACTTCCATACAGGCTGCACAAGCCAGAGGGAGAGCCTGTGCACGAACCAGCGGGGTGGACAGCAGGGAATATCAGAAGGTCCTGGGTTTCACTGTGCATGGGAGGGCGGACAAGGAGGCTGTTATAAATGTGGAAGTTAGCTTTTGTTGAAATCTGGCCTTGAAAAAGTGTCTATCATCTACTCTGAACAACTCCTTGCCTTCTCAGATCCCTTCATCAACAGGCGAAGGGCCAATGACTTCATACAAGCTGACATGAGACTAGAAGCCATCTCTCAGGAGAGGTATGTTATGGCCTCAGGACATTAAGGATGGGAGTGGGGAGAAGTGTCTCCTTGCCAAGCACAGGATGGTGCGAGGAGTGGCAGCCATGGTGACTTCTGAGAAGCTTCAGCCCCTCTTTCAATGTGAGGTGCTTGTGAAGTCCCCAACCCTGGGAGAAGCCAGAACTCAGACAGCAGAGAGCGAGTCCTTGCATTTAAGGACATGTCACATATTGGGAGGGCTCTGCTTAATTTGTCTGAAGGAAGCACCAACAGAATGAGAGGGAATCATTGTGGGATGGCCAGAAAAGAAGCTCAGTTTGAGATCTTGTTCTAGTCCTCAGATCTCATACAGAATCTGCATGACCTTTTCTAAATCACAGCCATCTGGGGGCCTCCTTGCCTCATCTATAAAATGCAGATATAGGTGGTTTCATGCCTCATGTAGGGCTTGTGAAAATAAAGGCTGAAGCACAGAAATCATCTCTTATGAGGTGTCAAGAAAAACCTTCTCTGCAGTACCAGGTTGCCCCTTTGCAGGATGTTTCAGGTCTTTGTTCCATGCGTGGCTTTGGGGAAGAGCAGAAGAGCTGAAGGCAGCAGGCTGGGGGGGGAGCTGCAGAGGGAGGGCTCTTCTTCAGGTTGAAGCAGGAGCTACCCCCTTGTCCCCACCACACTACTTAGCCTTGAAATAAAAGGTTTCTTGAGGAGGCAAAATGTTCCTGCTGTAGTCACATCACTCCCCTGGGTGCAGTGAGCACAGAAGCTGGTGTGCTAAGGTCTTGGTAGCTGGATGATGGAATATGGTGATGGACCCTTAATCCCGGTGGGGGATTGTGGGGCAGGAAAAGGCTGTGGACAGATATTTAAGATGATAACACTTACCCTTCATGTCTCCTACTTTTGCAGGATCAGGGAGCGTAATAAGGCTCCCCAGGAACGTCAGAGGGAGATCTGCGAGGACTACTACCCCTGCGAAGTGTATGCGTTTCGCCACGGCTATGCTGCTGCTTACAGGCACTATTTTGGGAGAAGGAGGACTAAATAAAGGATGACCTATCCCCACCCTGGGGCCTGGAACCCAGGGTATCCTCCCAAAAAATGCAATAGCTCTGAAACCTATTCAGTTGCTTGTGTCCTTGTATGTTATCGTGCCTACTGCTTCTCTCCCATGTAGCCGTGGATTCCTATACTGTGTTAATTAGCGCTGAGCTGATGTAGCAGAGATCAGAGTTCAGGATGTGGGTGTTTATTACACAATAAATTTCTGGTTTGATACTATCTTCTCATGAGTCACAGTATTTGGGGGGGGGGGAGTATTTTTCACAAAGAAGCTGAGTTTGTTTATCATAGAATATGGTGTGGATTATGGAAAAAAGTCACTACTTTGCAATCGCATGAGTTTGAAAGGATCTGAAATGTTTTTGTTCCGGGGTCTACAAGTGGCTTCTTTTAGAGGTCACTGGCAAATTTCAGTTCCCAGTCTTAAGACGTCTTAAAATGGCATGGTGTTCAGAAGGCAGGGTGATATGCACTTTTTGAAAATTAAGTCTATGATATCTTTCCTCATTTGAGGAAGCTAAATTCAGAAGGCACCTGTTTAATCTTAAAAAACAAATTTAGGGCAATAGTGACAGACAAGACCTGTAAACTGCATTTCATCTATCCAGCTACCCTCAAGTTCTGATGTATGGTGCTCCTGTAGAAAGGAGTGTGTGATCTGGACTTGATTCATATTTCCTTTTTCCCCTTTCATGCCCTTACTTCCATTTGGAATGATTCTGGTAGTGCTGGAGAGCTGCAGAAACCAAAGATGAAGATGGGCTCCTGGTGGTAGATAAAAAAATAAAACAAATCCAGTGTTTGGGGTTAAGCCCAACTTTGTTCACCAAGCACAATTTTATTTTACTGTTCATAACATTCAAAATCACGATGTAGCTTGACCCTGTGCACAGGTTGCTGAGCACCTCCCAGCCCATTGAGGAGTGAGTGTGACCGCTGTCAATGTTGTCACCAGCACCATGCCACTTCACAGAGCCTGTCCCCAGGCCAAGAGGCACCAGTGCTGTCATGCCCAAGAATTCAATACTGCTCCGGGCTGGTCAGCAGCCACAGCAGCTTGGATACCCCTTGGTGTGGGTGTGCAGGAGGCATCACATCTTCTATCTCAGCACAGCTGGTTTCAATATTCAGATCTCCAGGCTTCCACAGACACCTGCAAATTATAGAAGTGTGAAAGATTCATGGCACACTGTCAAAGGCTATGAGGTATAAAGTATCAAATTGTTGACTATTCTGTGAAATTAAGTCTAGAGCCAAATCTACCTGCCATGTTAGAATCCCGCATCTTCTTCCAAAATATACTTCAAGGCTTTGCCAGCTTTGAAGATGAACTTCTGGAAAGAAATGTGATTTATTTATTGAAAACATTTCTGATAGGAAACTCCACCCTGACAATTGCTAAAGTTTTGTCCAAAGGAAAAAGTGTGAGATAAATGATTTTAGGGAAAAAAGCCATATGGTTTAGGTATATTTACACCCACACTTGTTCTGCATGTTCCCAAGTAGGTAAATGTTATGATCATGAACCTGAGCAAAACTTTCGTACCCTAAAGTCAACACATCTGCAGTGTCTGGGTTTGACTTGACACTGTGACACTACCAAAAAGGAAGGAACAGGGCGTCTGAGTTTGTGTCCAGAACTATCTGGCAATTCCAACCTCCGGTTTACCAGTATAAATAATGAATAACACCAGAGATTTCTGTGGGATTCCATTAGTGTAAGCAATAACCAAACATATTTAAGTGACTACATGCTGGTTAGAAAGCTTGGGAAAAGTTGGGCAGAGAAGTAAAGCTGTTTGGATTACTAGAATTGTATATTTATATACTTTCAAGTTTTCATTTGGAAGCATAACTTTCCAAGAATACCTATATTTAAAATGTTTATTTATTTTTAAACTGTTTCTCTTTAAGATACTGGAAGTTGTTAGTATAAATATATTCAGTCTTTCCTGGACTGTAGAAGAGTTAAACTTTTTTTTGTTTTTTTGTTTTTTTTTTTTTAATCCTGAAATTTCTCTAAGCTAAAAGAGTGTTTCTAGGGATTAGCACAATCCCTAATGGCTCTGACTGCCTTTGGGAGCCCTTTAGGCTTTAATTCTGTAACCCTTGGACATCTCCCCTGCATGTGGAGCTGAGGAGGACTGGATGTGAGGTGGAGGAAGATGTGATCCATGTGCTGTGTTTGGGACATGGCTTTGGGAACTTGGCTGTTGGGTTTGGGAAGTAGGGTTATTGGTAGAGAGGCTGTAGAAGAGCCCACGGGGCTCTTCACATACCAAGTGACCACAGCCACTCAAGTCCTGAAGACTAAAACACTTTTGGAGTTTCAAGGTTTATTTGATTTTTAGACAAGAGAAGCGAAACCAATAGCCTCCATACTAGGAAGATTTCCAGGAAGAAAAAAGAAAGACCCTCCCCCAAAGTAACCTCCAAAGATCTCAACAGTATAAAAATCGCAGTTCTCTGAAGTGGTTTTTTGAAACTGTCTGAAGCAAAAAATCTACTATGTGTTTGCTCTATGCAAAACTGTTTCATGGGTTTCTTTAGCTTTCAGGGAATGAGTCAGGGTGGGATAGGGAAAAAGGGCCACCATTGGGTTTGGTCTTGTTTGATTTTCCACATGAGAGTGCCCTATCACACAAAAAGAGCTGCTGTATTTCAGGGTGTGCTGGTATCTTCCCTTGCTTTCCGGCGAGAAGCTGAACGACTTCCATGTTAATAATAAAACTGATTCATATTTTTTTAATCCAGTTGTTTTTCTTCAACAATCCCTTCAAAACCTCAGATAAAATCTTCTGGAAATGCCACAAGTCCTGAGATGGATGTCCAAAACTCGGCCAGAACCTTATATCTCCTGGCCCAAATGACAGGCTTTGTTTTGGAGCTCAGACAGAGAAACACAAGCCAGAGCCCCAATCTCTCCAGGCGATTACAGGATATAAATTGCTGCCCGAAAGCAAGTGCTGGAGAACTTCAGTAACCTGCAGGAAAGCTCTGAGGTTAGGGAGACTAGCACAGCCAAAGAAGACATGAGGAGTCTGCTGGCACTGCTGATCGTGACTCTGGCCCTGGCAACGCTCTGCTGTTGTGAGAAAGGTAAGGGGAAGAGTTCCCGGGAAGGGTCTCTGGAGCACTGCTCAACCCTGCAGCTTGCTGCCAGCCTCCCTTCGGTCTGGGAGAGACTCACAGCTTCAGGGGGAGACGGTGTGTGTGCTGACGGTCATTGCACAACTTCAGATCTCTGTCCGAGTGACGGAGTCACGGATGAGAGAGGGCTTGAGGATAGACAACCTCATCTGTTGCATTTAGCAATTATGTGAACTGGCAAAGGTATGCTGGGTGTTGACTTTTGAGTAAGAGGGTTGAGTAAGAGGGTTGAGCTGCAGGCAGAGTTGTGTCGACCACAGTGGGAGGGATTTTGTACCTGCCAGCCCTGGAATGCTGTAGGATCACAGAGATAGGCACCGAGTCAAGCCTATACCTGCCAAGAAATGTGGGATGTGGAGAACGTCTGGAGTGAAAAAAAATTCTATCAGTGGTTAACAAAAAAAGGGAATTGTCCCACTGAAATGAGCACATCACATTTGAAGGTGATTTAGCCATTGTGACTTTATGATCAAGAGACAGTAATGTAGTGGCAACTCTATAGTTGATGGAGAGGGAAGGGGGGTGGGGGGAAATATCAGAAAAACAAGTGTTTTTGATTTACAACTGGAAAAGTGAAGTTGAGCAGGAGAGGGCCCTGTCTTTTCTTGTATTATCCCATTCGGAGTTAAATTTCATTCAGTCCTTGGCATCAAATATGTCATGGTTCAATACTGGCAAATATGTTTTGTTTGATCTGTCAGTCTCTCTCTCACTTTTTCACTCTTAAGTATATATCTGCTTTTTTTTAGTCATTATTATTATTCCAGATAACTTAATGGCCTTCGAGTAACTTCTAATTTATATTTTTTTTAATTCAAGGAATGTATACGATGCTTAAAAATAGAACTACATGCAACCCTTTTCACACAAAGTTTTTTGTTCAAGCACAGTTGTTATTTTTTTGGTCTCTAGAATCCTCTTTCTGCCCATAAATACATTTAAGCCAAATATTTGGTGACTTGGGTGGAACTGACATTATTGAAGAAAAATATGGTGAAAAAGTGGAAGAAAAAAATTGTGAAATAGGGCAGTGTGGGAGAGCCAACATTAAGAGACCTACCATTTCTCTTAGGGCACACTTTCCTTGGGTGTTTGCAGGGAGCATTAATGATTAAGGATTGAGATTAGGACTGAATACACGAATGTGTAAATTACAGTGTGTAAACTCCTCTTGGGAGGGCTGGTGAGCCAGGCACCTCAACCCACAGCCTGTGGGGGTAGACTTGTTCCTAATTTTTGGCCCTATTTCCCTTCCCTATCAATAGTTCTAGATTTCTCCTTAGAGTTCAGGAAGCCCCTCTTTCCAAAGATAGAGGAGATGCTCAGCTATCTTCAGGTTCAGTTCAAATTTGGGGTTTTGCTCAAATAGTCCCCTAATTCTTGCTATACCTCCTCTTAGCACAGGTGGGGAGGGAGAAAGAGGAAGATCTTCCTCCAGCTTCCACAGTGGTTATATGTTATTGTGTCATTTAATCTGTCTCAGGCATAATAGGTGAATTTTGCCATGGTGAAGAAGTCTATCCCTAAATGGTGGATGTTAATAAAACCCTTTTTTGGGAGGAAAAGACCTTCTGGGAAAGGGGAGGAGTTGGATCCACCCAGAAGGTAGAGAGATTCAGTTAGAGTGGAGCAGAGGAGGAGGACTCACAAGCAAACTCCTCTGTCTGTCTGTCTGTCTGTCTTCCAGATCCAAAAGACCCCTCAGGATCTCCCAGCACTGACAGTGAGTATATCTGTGTGACCAACAGCTCCATTCTCCTGCATCTAATTTCCTTCTTCCCTTTGACTGGTTCAAGGGGTGAACAAGGATCATGCTGAGTCCCTCTGTCTGGTCCCTTTTTCCTCCCTCAGCCGTTCGGTCCCTGAGGTACAGGAGCCCCTGCAGCAAATAGAGGGGCTGCCTTTCACAGCCATGGAGGCAGGAGACACCCACGAGGTCAGCCCCCTGCACCAGCAGTCTAGCATCGCTCTGGGTGTGCTAGTGCCATAGCCCTCATCTCCACAACCCCTGAGCAGCCGCCAGGCATGACATGAGTCCTGCAGATTGTTAGCAGCTGGATGCATTTGCCCTCTGTGAAACAGGGTGTTGTGGATCTCCCAGGTTCTCTGAGCTGGCTTCAGAGACCTATCCAAAGTGACTGTTGTGTCCCCAGACTATTAAGAGAGCAGAACCTGCCCTGGGGCCTCCAGGCACTGGTCTTTTGGATCTGCTGAGCAGTCAGTCAGGTGTGCAGGATCACAGACTGGAAAGGTTTGGTGCCACATAGCAACAGGCTGTGACATCCCTGCCAAGTCTCACAACCTGGAGACCCTGAAAGCAAGCACCTTCCTTGGCTGCTCCTGAAGACTGCAGCCCCTACTGTCAGGTCACCTGGGACATGGGGATTTGCACACCTTAGGATGTCCAAAGCTTTTGCAGCAAGCTGATCCTGGCAGAAATCTGTATGGAAAATCCCTTTCGTTCTCCACTGTCTCTCCTTTCTCACACCTTAAAGGGTAACATTGCTGCTGGGGAGCATGAAAGCTGGTATTTCTCCAGTGAGCCAATACAAACACAGATTGGGAAAGAGAAAAAAATGAAAAGAGTGTTGAGGGAAAGGTGGTGATTTCTGACAGCTCATTAACTGGCAATTCCTGTGTAGTCAGTATTTTGATCCAGACTAAACCCCTGCTTGCTAGAGAGGGGGCACCTCTCACCTGCCAGATAGAAACACACTCAAACATGCCATGATGATGAGGGAAGGCCACAAACCCCACCATCTCCCCACAAGCAGAGGTCTGAGAAGCTGCTTCTCCCCAGACACAGTGACCGTTTGCCTGTTTCCTTGCTGAAACATGTATTGGTGTGCAGCTGCCTGTGTTGCTGGTGTGCTGGCATCCTCTGCTGGTGCAAGTCTGTCCCATGGAGAGAGGCTGTGCTGAGCCCCCACTGGGGATGGAGGTATGACATGGCTCCACAGCACCCTGGTGTTTGCACAACTACAAATCCAAGGGAGTGAATAAGCAACTGTGCTGACATGGTGTGTTAGTGGAGATCAGGGACCAATGCTGTCATGGCAGAAAGACCTCCTGTGTGTATTTCTCTCTGGGTGATGTTTACCATCATTATTTTATACGCTTCACCTTTCATGGAACTCTGCACATGTCAGCATTGGTATTTCCATCTGCTACCTGTTGCTTATGGCTCACTAGAGGCATTTTAAGGCCTGGTGGTTGGTATCCCATATCACTCTCAGTCTAAGTCAAATTATAGAAAGGAAGCCAAGACTCTGAAGTTAAGCAGGCTAAGGAGAGAGGGTCCCTTCATTTTCTCCTTACTCATTTTTTATGCTGTCATGACTTTGCCTTCTGCATCTTTGCTGTGGACTCAGATCATGCTGTGTGATAAGGGAATGGAGTTTATGACAGAAAAGGCCCTTGCTCCATGTGGATGTGCAGGCTGGAGTGAGGAGGGAGCCCAGCTGTTGGGCTTTGAGTGGACAGTGGGATGGGGAGAGACGAATGGGCTATCAGGATGGTTTGTGGCAATCATCCGCTTGTGAAGAGAGTAGACTGTCCATTTTCAGAGGTTAGACTGGTCTCTGGTTTTCATATACCATGACTACACATCTCTAACCCGCTGTGTCCTCTCTTGGTAGGCATCAAGATTAAAAAAGAAGTTGCCAACGCCTTTGTGAAGAGGCAGAAGAGATTCAGCCAGCATGAATGGTAACAACTCACGAGTCAGGTGGAGAGCTGGACTCTGGACCTTTCTGAAGAGGGGGTGGGAAGGCAACAGGACATGACAAAGCATTGATTTGTTGTACATCTATGTTATCTTCATGTGTTGAAGCAAAAAGGCTGTAGGAGACACTTATTGATAGATAAATGGCTCTATTTTCATAAATATCCTTTTGAGAGCTTATAGCTGGACTCTGATATTTCTCCCAGGGAGGAAGAGAGTACTAGCTGTCTGGGCTAGCCATGGGGACAGCAGGATACAAGTTAGAAGCTGCTCTAACCTGCAGGGTCATCAGGGCCAGTTTCCAGGGCACTGAGCATCACAGAGCCTTGGTCATTGCCTTTGGCCTACAAAGAAAGCACAGCTCTGTTGCAGGAATAAGGCTAGATCAGAATGGCTGTTCTTTCTGAAGTTGTAGATCCTGCATCCATTTGTGCAGAAATCATAGGCACAAAGATTTGGAGAAATCCTAGCTGCAAACATTTGGAGAAATTTGAGGTCATCCAAGAATGTTGCTCACATGTTTCCTGGAAGAGGTTGTTAAGCTGCTGTCTCATGTAGGCCTGGCAAAGGAATTTTTATTTAATGTGTCTTTGGACTGGAAGGATAATATTGTTTTTTAGATAATAGAAGATTGGGAGGCCCCATATGTGGAAGAGAGGATCAGAGGAACTGGCTGATGTTGAAATCCACAGTGATTAAAAACAGGATGAAATTCAGTAGTAGCAACTGTACTGACTGTACTGACTACCTCCTTACAGGTGGGGCATCGTAAAAGTAGCTTCTGCTATAAGCATTAACCAGGAAGTACTGAGGTAGGCAGACAGCTCAGGATATTATTTAATCACGAGGTAAGGTTAGTCTGGAAATATGGATGCAACAAATGGAATTCAAGGGTGCTGCAGGGTATATCCAATACAGAAATAAAATACCAATTAATGAGACACCGGTGGGACTTCTCCTGTAGCATTGTGTATAGTCCTCAAGAAAGATTACCCAGACCTGGAATAGGAGTTGAGAAGGATATCCAGAATGTATAGCTGAGACTAAAAGATTAACTGCTTAACTGGGGGGGAGGGATGGGGATAGTGTTGCTGTAAACAGCAGAAGCGAGGATGATTAGAGGAAACTCCTTAATTTAAAGGAAGATAATGGCTAGCAGGAAAGTGAGCAGACACTGAGAGCAAATAAAAGAAAACAAGCAATAATTAATTAAATAAATAACAATAAAAAAGAAGATTCCTGGGTAGGTGGGGAATGAGGTTGGGGACAAAAAGACCCCAGCACTAACTGCTTCTGTGATTTCCTTTGATGATGTAACCTGAAGAGCAATTGCTTTAAGTTGGGTTCAGTTCCAACTTTTCCCAGCATTAATCGAGTTGTCTATCTCCATGTAAATAGATGTTTAACTTACCATGAGAAGTCCCCTGTTGGGGCACCGTGGTGAATCACTCCTCTCATGTTAGTGTCAGGGGTGTGAACCCTCTCCAACTGCATTGACTGAATCTGCAGAATGGCATTTCTCTCTTTGTCTACTCCAGGTACACTGAGCATTACAAAGCTCCAATGGAGCAGATGCATGAGCGTTGTGAAAACTACCCGCCCTGTGTCTATCTCTCTAACCAAATAGGATTTTCCATGGCCTACTACCGTCTTTTTGGGAGATACTAGGGGATGGTCACTCCGTTCATTTTGCTTGGGACCACTCTGAACCCCGCAGGAGAAAGAAGGTTATGAGTGGGAGGGAGAGAAGAAAAACATCTAGACTGGAGACTTCTTCCATTGTGTCCCTAGCCAGCTGGAATGCCAAGGCAATAATTATCCCACTTGTTGAGCTTCCGTTAGCTTTCTGCCTTTCATAAAAAATGTTTCTCTTCAGTCATCTTTTGTGGTATTTTGAACTTCACCAGAAATGATTGAGAAGAATCTGTCTTACCTCTTTCCATTTGAATCCCCATGATGCAGTAGATGAAAAAAATATGTGATTCCTCTCAAGAAAATCAATGTGTTCCTTAGAAGCATAACAAGACCTTTTGTCCTCCTCTACAAAATGCAGGAGGATTATAGAAGGCGAATGTCACAACGTGTAAATGTGATGGATCTGATCCTGAGATGCTCACTGGGAAGAAGGCAGAATGACTGCCTCCTGGAACATTGACTGGGAGTGTTCCGTATTTTCAAGTAGTATAATCACCCTAAATATGTGCCATTGTAGGACCATTTTGTAAAGAGAGCAGTGTGGAAATACTATTACATAGCCAGTAGTCAGGTTCTGATACACTCTTCTGATTATTCTGTCACAAAATTTGCCTGTATAGCAACAACAGATAAATCCCAAAAGGTGTGTTTAAGGAGTCCTTTAGATGAGCCCTTCCATTTGTATGCCGCATTCAATGACTGTCTGTAAAAAGTAACTTGGAAATCTCTTGTGATTTTTGTTGCAATTGGTTTCTTGTGAAACTGAATATACCCAAGCAAAACAAAACAAAAAAAATCTGTTCCTCTGATGCTTTAGCATTTATGGTTGCAATAAAAGTGTCTAAACGACTAAAAAAAAAAAAAAGAAAAATGCAAAGGGGAAAACCAATAAACTTTATGAAATAAACAACAAAAATAATAGGTTCAAGGATGGATTGAAGTTGGGTCAGCATTTGGGTTATTCAAGTCAATTTGTATCTCTCTCATATATATATATAAATATAAATGTGTATGTGTGTTTATATACGTATCCTCTTCTCTCTGCACTACTTCATTCTGTCCTCTGATATGAATATTATACCTTAGCAACTTTCTGCACAGCCTCCCTTGATGTGATCTGTCAGCTTTCCTTCCTTGAGAGGTAGACAGCAGATCCCATCTCCAAGGACAGGGACTGCTGACCTCAGGAGACTGAGAAAGATCGAATCTCTCTGGTTGCATGTAAACTCATGCAGCCATTCCCAGCTGCTAATTGCAATAAATACTGTTTATGTAAAGAAGGTTGGTGTGCTGCCTCTCTCTGTTCCTCTATACAACCTTTGTCTGCAGTTAGGGATGCCTGGAAGATAAAGCCTGCCCTTACGAACCCTGAAGAGCAGGATCCAGGTATGTCAAGCTTTCTTCTCCCCTCCTGTGCCCCAATGTGATTCTTAAGTGACTACATTGAAATTCAGGTCACGATCCCAGCACACAGTGACAGTGAGGAAGAGGAGGGCTAGGCTTCTCCTGATTCACCAGCTGCCAAGTTCAGCATTTCTCTGAAAGACTTTGCCCTAAAGTAAGGACACGGGTAAGTCCAACAGAGATGGCTGCCAGTGTGAGTGTGAGCATCTCTTGTTTGGCAAGCTGCTATGGCTTGCACTGGCTAAGCTGACCTTGGCCAAGGAAAAGACAGTTAAGTATCTCTGCTTGTCTTGGTCAAACACCTGGAACTGGTTCCCCTATTGGCATAAACTGATGGGGCTTCACTGCTCACAGCAAAACTCTCCTCTGAACGCCATCTAGTAAAAATGAACAAACTGCTCACTGAAAGCAGTGAAAATTTTGCTAGAAAAAATACTAGAGAGATTAGTGAAATCCTAATACCTGGTGTACTAGCAAGTTAGAGGTTTTGTTGTTGTTGTATAGTTTTATTTGCTAAAAAAGAAAGTCAGGCTTCCTGTTATATTTGCATCTTTCTCCTAGTTTTGTAATTTCCTTTTCAGTAAATATTTTTTTCTGGGCAGTTGCACACGAAGGCCTTGATCATGTTATCTCTCTGTGCCACCCGATCTCTGTACGGGCTGAAGTCATTAGGGCCTTTGGGATCTGAGTGCACAAATCAGATGACAATTTTATCGCTGGAACAGAGGAGCTCGATTTTCACCTTGTCGATGCAGATTTAAGACCCACCGTAAGTCCTCTGCTGCCATCTTATGGACAGTATCGACATGCGAAAAATAGTACCCTAGGTTGCTTTTGAAGCTTTGGAAAACGCAAATCCAGTGGGCTTTCTTCCTCATTCACTTCATACTACAACATACATTAAGAGGCCAGAAGGGAAAAATAGGGACATAATCTGTAACTGGATTATATGCAGCTGAATTGACAGCGACTCCGACAGTTCTCACTGGAGCCTGTCTCAGTTCAGCTCCTTTTTATCTCTACATGAACAGGGCAGGAGATGCCTCTGCATAAATTCACCACCCCTTCTCTGGACTCACTTTTAGCAGTGGAAGAACTGCTTTCTGAAATACAGCCCAAGATGATAGAGCAATTCCAAGAAGAAGAAGTAGATAGGTTGCATTTATCACTTTGCATCATCCTTCATGTCATCATCTCCTATCACCAGTGGCTGCAGATACTGTCAGCAGCATCAGCTGATGCAGTACTATAGATCACTTTGAAAGGAACCCAGTATGAGACCTGAGTATGATAGGGTCATCTCTCACCCTATTTCAGCAATGTTCAGCAAATGCTTTCTGTCCACAGAATCTAAGCAGCTGCACAAATGTCTCTTTTCCTAGGGAATCACACCATAACTGCAAGTGCTGCCCTCACGAAGCCAATCACTAGCAGGCAATGGAAAATGGATTTCACTTCTCTGTAGTCAGAATGAGGCCCTGACATGGCTTCTTGGCTCTTTTTCCATAAAGAAGAGTTGTCAGAGGCCATGGGGCTTCACAGGTGGGTAATTCACTGATGTTATTTGGAAGGGTGACTGGAAAGCAGCTAGTAGAGAGGGATTAGTCTCAGTATAGAATCTGTATTTATGCACCATTTCTGATTATTTTTTAATGTAAACAGTTCAACAAGGTGCCACTCTACAGTGATGTAAGGGTAGGATCGACAGCACGTTATTAGAAACCAGAGGGAGCTAAGGAGGAGAGGGACAGTTATGTTATCTCTGCTTCCAGATGGGATCCCAACCTACCCTGTGTTTCTGTGTTGGCTTTATCAGAGCTCTGCACTTCTTTAAAAGGGCTTTTTAAGCTCTTGATCAGGGAGTGTGTTCCACCTCATCCTGACACATCACTCCTCAGGAGAGAGCTGCCTTAGACTTCTCCAAGACCAAGTTTTCCTCCTTTCTGCAAGAACAAGAACACCAGATACCCTGGAATTAAGAGAGTTATCAAGGTGAAGGACATCTGCACCAGCTGGAGTTGGCACAATCAGACCCTTCCTTATGGATTCTGGGCACACTTCTACCAGTAAATTTTGTTTGGTTTGATTAACAACTTCTGAATTGCTGTAAGAATCTGGTGAATGATCTTTAAATGAAGAATTAAAGGTCACCAAATCCTGAGTGCAAATTACAAACTGCAGAATTTTCCAGTTCAAGAAAAAAGGGAACATAACAGATGTAAATGACCTCTACTTGAGCTCAATGTTCTTTACAGTGTCTTGAGTGGACTCTAGGATGCCAGTGCTGCTGGCCAGTCTTCTGATGCTGATCTCCTTGCAAAGGCTGGTAAGAGGGGGTAAACAATTTTCTTTATTTGAAATGTTGAAATTGCTCATCCTACCAAAATAAACCTTTTTTAAAATTTATTTTATTTGAAACATGTACTTTAAGGAACTCTGGGCTCAGCTTAAACTCTTCTGCTTTCAGTTGCTCTGTTCCATTTCTTACCTGTCTTAATTCCTTTTAACTACTTGGTTGGAAATTTCCTCTAATTTGGAGCCAGATGCTTTCCCAGGATGTGTTTGGGAGTAGATCTTAGGGAACTTTTCATCTCATTTTTGGCCTGTATCATCTGAGGCTCCCACAAAAACAGTGTGCTGTTGGATAGGACGGTGACAATATTGCTGTATTCCTTGTGACTGTCTTTTAGCTTTCCCTCAAAGCAATTACAGTATCATGGAGAAATAAACTGAATCCCTGTATAGTTTATGGGCTGGTATAACTTCAGAGGCTAAGAAAGGTATCAAACTGGTTATGTGTCTAGGTTGCATATTTGAGATGAAGTGAATATCTACTTGTAGAATTCAACTATCAATTGACTATGGTACCTGACTAGTCTACTAGGAGATCAAAACCAAAAAAGAACAATGTCATAACTCACACCATCTCTTCAATCCCTTGTGACTGTCTTTTAGCTTTCCCTCAAAGCAATTACAGTATCATGGAGAAATAAACTGAATCCCTGTATAGTTTATGGGCTGGTATAACTTCAGAGGCTAAGAAAGGTATCAAACTGGTTATGTGTCTAGGTTGCATATTTGAGATGAAGTGAATATCTACTTGTAGAATTCAACTATCAATTGACTATGGTACCTGACTAGAACAATGTCATAACTCACACCATTTCTTCAATCTTATTATACAAGTCTTTGTTTATGCTAGAAACAGATAATTAGTGTGTCATTTCATAGGCAGAATGTGTTAGAGGTTATTTTCCTGTTATAGCACCCAGTGTTGTAAATCCTTATTCATGTGTTTAATGTTTATTTACATGACAAGTCCAGTTGGCCTCGCTGAGACAAACTGGATGAACAAAAGCTTTGGCATACTGTTACTATATTGTCCTTTACTGAACATTATTCTCTGGAGCCACAACATGACCAAGAGGTATGACAAGACAGGAAGAAGAAAATCAGCTCTGGGAGCATTCAGGCTGCGCTGCTCCTACCACATGTTTTGCTTATTCTTTCCCTCTTGAAAACCACTTATTAATCTTGAGCAGAATATTGAAATAAATGGACCATGGGTCTGTCCTGCAGGCTCTATACCCTCACCCTGTGAAGGGCCAACTCTCCTGAAGTTGTTAATGCCGCTGATCCCCATCAAATAAGAACTCTGGCATCCTGGCTGGTTTTTGCCTGGGGGGGAGGCATGGACAATAACCTGAGGTTGCTCAGGAAGGTCTTGTCAAAGATGCCTACCTGCTGTGCTTGCTCTGCCAATAATGGCAAAGAGACAAGAAGAGGGTAGGGAAAAACTTGGCCTGCATCCATAGACATACACAAAAAGTTCACACTTTTGATGCTAATCTTCATTTGCTTTTATGTTGCAGGCTGTGTCCCACCTCATGATGGATATGGCACCGCATTCCTTTGATGACCAGTATCTGGAGTGCAGAGAGCAGGTGATGGAAGAACTGGAGCGAGGACACTATTTCCAAAAGGAAATAGCTGCTAACAAGGACTATTTAAGCCTCTGGAAGAAGGCTCGGGAGGCTTTGCTAAAGAGCCCTGTAGGTCTCCTGAGGGAGATGCATGAGAGCCATGCCATAGTCCTCATGGCTTACACCATGAACTCTTCCCTGCACTCTCAGCTGAACTGGGCCACATCTACAGCAGGAAGCTCTCCAGAGCACTACAGAGACAACTTCAGTTTCAAATATTTTCACTTTTACCTAACGACTGCTATCCAGATAATGAAGCAATGGCAGAGCAGCAAGGAGAGCATGGGGAAACGTAAGTGCTACCGGGTGCACAGGGGTGTAAAGGACTTGCATATTGAGGCCATGGTAGGCAGCAGGGTGCGATTTGGCCGTTTCACCTCCACCTCCCGCCTCTGGAATGAAGCCCAGAAGTTTGGGAATGAAACTTTGTTCACAGTGACCACTTGCCTGGGAGCAGCTGTGCAAGGTTTTTCTTACTACACATCTGAGAAGGAAGTCCTCATTCCCCCTTATGAGGTATTCCTTGTCAAAAGCTTCTTTCGGACACAGCATGGTAACCGACTGCATCTGCATTCTGTGGGGAACTACAGCAAGTACCACTGCCAGCTCGTGGAAGGTATTGTAGATAGCCTTTCATGCAGAGGGGGTGTAGACAGTGTGGTCTCAGGTACCCCAAGCAGCCCTCACCAGCTGCACCTACACAGGGCCATGCTCAAGTCCAAATCTGTAGCTTGCCCACTGTGTTCTCCTGCGGGAGCCACATGACCCAGTTTTTACCTGTTTGTTGTGAAACCTGGGAGCACCTCACAGCTCACTAAAGATGAATCCACCTGATACACAGCAGGTTTCATGGTTCTTTGCAGCCTCCATTTATCCTATCTGCCATTGCAAAGATGTTGTAGGACATCTTTGTGTCCCCAGCATTCCTAGTGCAAGGGCAAATGAGATTTGCAGGCAGCTTGAATTCAGATATTTATTCTAGTGGCTTGCAAGACTGCTACACTTCAGGCCTCAGGACTATTCTGGGCTTTGGTCCACCACACTGGCAAGGTCAGGTAAGTGAAGAGAAAACTACTGTCGCTTTAGTGGGGTTCTCTCTCCTGTGACAGAAAGGAGGAAAGGTATCCTTTGGCAAAGCACACACTGTGAGTTTCCTGGCTATAGAGATAACTTTGTGCTGGAAGACCTCACTGGGCTTGTCCCACATCCGTGTTCTTCTGTGAGTCCACCACCAATATAGGACTCTTGCTTTTGTCTCTCTGTACAATAGTGTATCAATGCAACCTTTGAGCACAAAACAACCATTCAGGAATGAGAATTTGTGCCTGGACACAAGCCAAAGTAGTAGGTAGACTTGAGAAAATGGCTCTTCTGGGAAAAGGCTGTGTTAGCAAGTGCAGCCAAAAGAGGTCTAAATAATTGTTCTCTTGACTTACTTTCAGCTTCAAGAAAAAAGAACAGCGGTTCCACTGCCCTCGCCTCTGCCTTTCTTCCTAGTGTAGTTGGAGTTTTCATGTGCTTGGCCCACAGTGACTGACTCTCTGGCTGCACCCAGATATATACACTTCAACAGCGAGCAAGAAGAATTCACAGGAAATCAGTTTCTGGTGTTCCTGTTGTTACAGAAGGTTCAATCCTCCCTTTGCTTTCAGCTGAGACTGGAACATTCAGTCTGGTTCATCAAAACAGACATTCCCTGGACTCATTCAGGGAGGAGGGCAGTTATCTACGGCCTTTCTGAAGAGCAGGTCAGTGACACCCTTTACTGTAGGTAGCTTTTCCCTTAGGCATTCAGGAAAGACACACGGACATTGGACTCTACTGACCTCTTAGTACCTTTATTTTAAGTGAGAAAGAGTCTATCTGTGGGATGCAAAAGACACCATGGTGGTAAAGTTGAGTGGGTAACTGTGCAGCCTTGCATATCTCCTTTGAGTGTAGGGTCCCAGGGGACAGTAAAGTCTATGGCTGCTGCATAGCAGTCTTTCACCGCTTCATGACCTCATGCACCAAAGTCATAGCTCTCATCTCAGGCTGACTGTCTGCAGCTCATGCATGGGGGACAGAAGCATAAAACTGCCTTGAGACATGAATTTAGCAGCAGAGGATCATGGGACTTGTCAGACCTGTCTTCATCTTTCACGTTCAACTACAGTATTTCTTCTGAAAAACTCAGGCAGATCTCGTGTTCATTAACAGTCCTCTAGTGGCTGATGAATGCATGTTGGTCATTTCATGCTGAAAGGAAGGAGAGCCTGTGTAACCCACTGCTGTCTTCAAGGGTGCTGGATGTGACTGAAATTAATTTACGTGTCTTTCTACTTTGCTAGTCTTCAATGTATAATGCTGGAAGTTGAATCAATATCACAAACCGGAATTGGAACTTCCAATTTGGCTATAGACTCCTCTCACTTTTATGTGTTCATTTAGTTCTTCTGGAGCCATAGACACCAAAGCCAGAACAGCTATGAAGCTCTCCCATCTCCAAAAAATAGCAGTGTGGAAATTATAAGAAACATTTTCTGCCTGCAATTCCCCTTTCCTTCACCCCCACTGACACTAGCCCTGGGCTGAGGCTACAGTCAGAGAGGTTATCTCCCCAGTCCAAGGAGACTAGTCATGGTGATTTAACTTTGCGGTGGAATCATCAAATAATTGAACTGAAACTCACTGACACATTTCACAAATGACCCCAGCTTTCAGACACTGCTGATCTTAGCAGGATGCTGGAGCTGTATTCACTACCCCCTGTCCAAAACAGTAAGCAACAAGTTAGCTACCCAAATAAGATCTGAATATAAGAGGACTACACAAGCTGCCAGTTAGCTGGTTAATCAAAAGTAATGACAGCCAAAAGCACCTGCATGAACTACTTGACTCTCAGAGCAGCTCCATATAAGCTTGGTGCTGCCATTCCCTTGGAAATCCTCTGGCAAGGAATGCAGAATTTAGGCACGGGAGAAATACTAGCATTAGAAATTCAGGCACTTAAGGAATTTAGGTATCTTCAGGTTTTAGCAGATTAAATGGAGGAACTTGAGTTTCAGCATCTTGTGTATGAGATTTAGGCGTCTATAATGGCAGAGGCCATCATCTAGTCATCTAAAACCTAGCAAGATGTTCTGTGAAACTGAACTACTGCCCCTGAAATCTTGAGAGATGCTTGCCCAGGCAGCTAAAACAGATTTAATGTGGAGCTATTTTACTATTAGCTTGTTTTATATCTATATTTCATGTTACTTTCTTTTTTGCTTTTGGCTTACCAGTGATTTCAAATAACAAGTCGTCAGAACTTGATTTTGATCCCTAAATGCTCAAAGATACTAAGCCCAGATTTCAAAAAAGAATGAAAATATTAGAAACAGCTGCTGCAGATACCTCTTGTACGTGTTTTCAAACATGCTTAAACTCTTTCCTATGTGAGAATTACAAGAATCAAGATGGATTTCTGACACATCAACACATTTATGTCTCTTGCTGCTTTTCCGTTATCGGTGGGATGCAGGCTTCAACCATTTTAACAAAGGTTTGGAATCCTTCACAAGGTGGCTTCAGCACCCTGAAAGCCTCCTCTAAGTAGTCAGCTGCTATTTTCAGGCTTCTCTTTATGGATCTGTGTCCTCGAAGGATAGCCTGTAGGAAAACAAGAAGTGAAGAGGAGGAAGGTACAGAGCGAAGCCTGAGCTCTTGTGATGTTCCACTTGAGGAGGAGCTGCCTTCTGTGGTACTTGGTGTCTCATTTTGTTGCAGCATCTTCACAATATCAGCATAGTCCATGAGAAGTTCTGATACTTGGAGGGATAAAGCAGGTGAACTCAATAATTGATGAACAGCAGACTCCACGGTGTCAAGGAAATTGTCATGTTTCAACATTACTGCAATGATTACACCCATAATTCTTTCTACAACCCCCTTGTAATTCTCATAAAGTTCCTTTACTGCAGTGATCTTGTCCTGCAGAGAGGTGATGGGACCAGCAATCTTGGCATATAAACTATGGCTGATGCTCTCCTGTACATCTTTGTCTTTTGTTTCCATGGAGGCTTGCATCTCTTTCAAAGCACTGACCAGGAGCTGCAGATTGTCTTTAATGCTGAAGTTTTCTTTTACTGATATGATGGGGAAGTTGCTGCCAAGATGTGCATTGAGGAGTCGGAATATTTTGTTGGTTGAAGCGACATAGATGTACACTAAGTCATGCAGATTCTGGCAGGCCCTGACCAGCCTTTCTTTATCACTCTTAAAACCAAGGCGGGCTAACATTTTTGGAGTGGTGTCTGACTCTGAAAAGCAAACAGAGGAAATCCAGAAGACACAGGGGAATAAAACTAGATATATTTTCAGCTAGAATATTACATTTCTGAAACCAATATTACAAATTATCCACCCACCTGACCTGCCCTCCCCCAAGACATTACAGTTAGAAGAAAACACAGAAAAAACTCTTTGTCAGCCTTTGCAGAGGTCTTACCAAGCAGGCCAGCAAAATATGGTGTAAACAGCTGCAAGTATCGTTACTCTTATGGCTGCAGGAAGTATGACTCTGACCTTCAGCATGCAATCTGAAAAGCAATTGAAGTGCGGTAAGTGAATTATTCTTGCCTTTTGGTGTTTATTGGTAATTTATGGGAGTCCTAGCAAACAATCTACTTTCCATCATCCTTAGAACTATAATCCTTCAGTGTGTATATGGTGGTGGGTCTACACAGAATTAAACTCATATTCTGGGGAGGGGGGAATAGACACAGCAAAGCCAAATGCATCAGACATCTACATTCAAGGGACAAACCAATTGAAGACAGACTAATGCAATGTTTCGACAGGCTACGGTTTCCTGTGAAGTGACCCATATCTGTCAGTTCATACAGCTGCTAGATGTTGCAAGCATCCCTTGATGGGTGGAAGCACAAAACGTTCTCCTTGCTTGGGCTCCTGTCTTGCTACCGTTTTCACTAAGGAAGTCATGCCTTCCGCTTGCACCTAAGAGTTCTCCCAAGGCCAACTGCAGGTACAGTCCTGGGACAGCTCATGGCTGAAGGACTGCTCCTGATGTCGCCTTTGCTTGTGCCAGAGCCCTGGAAAGCCAGACTGGTTGCAGCAGACATGTTTCATCAGCTATTGCTGTGGTTAGATGTGCAGTTAAATGTGTCCAAGCAGTTGCGAATTCCCATCCCACTTCATACTTTTTAAGACTTTTCTCTCAGTGCTCAGCTCAACCTTCTGCCTCTTCCTCCTTTTTCTTCCCATGGCAAAAGCAGTCTGAAATTGTGTGAAATGGCAAAATTTATTTTAGCCTCCACTGCTGTTCAGCCAGACCTGGCTCTGGGGCTCCATAACACTTCTTCCACTCTCATGGCATCAGAGGACAGGACCTAGCAAATTGCAGCAAAGAAGGGTGACAGGCACTCCAGATTGACTCCTTCCCTCAAATTTAACAGGTCTCAAACGATAGCTATTAATTTTCCCTAGAGACCCAGAGTAAAGAAGGAACAAGACTGCTTGCTTATTGTTTAAATTATTTTCTGTCGTGTTCCAAATGATAGAGACTCTAGAAGAGAAAAAATTGCATCCACTGCAAACCTTGAAGACCTGAAATCAGTTACCAGGCTACAGAATGGGACACAGAGGCAGTTGCCAGTCTGATCAATTCAACTGAATCCAATATTGGAAGAAGTATTTCAGGACTACTTTGCATTCTCAGTTAATAACAGGAGTCACAACTAATTGATGATTGCAGAAATGTTAAATCATTAGTGTTCACTCTCAGCTCATCTTCTTACGCCTACAGCTCTGAAAAAAAGGAGAGTTTGGTACTCTGGCTCTGGTTTGAATACAATAGTTTAGCTTTCAGTGGAAAACAAGAGCCAGCAATTGCAGAGCACTCCTGTTATGTCTGATCTTTTACATTCATCTGAGAACCCAACCATTCTCTACTGGGGAGGCAGCATTCATGACCAGAGCCTAATGGGCAGCAGGTCCATCTGTCTAAGGATCAGAGCATGAAAGATGTCTACCTTGGATGAAGAGAGAAGTACAAGCTTGTCTTGCTGGGACAGACAAAGCCTGTTTTCACTGTCTGTGATATCTATTTTTCTATTTGTGTGGGACTGTTCAACCTTTCTTCCATAATTTGCATGTGTGCAAAACTAGTCATTGCAATAATTTCAAGGAATAGCAAGCATTAGTGTTTATTATTTATGCTTATAAAAAATAGACATTTATAAATCCCAGTACAAAACCTAATCCTGTATCTATATGAATGAAAAGTGCTGTCCTACATGATTCATGTTCTGACAAGACAAAGTAATACCATCCCCTTTCAGCTATGCCTGTAGGTACCTGTGATGATACCTTTGTCATAGGCAGGGGCACTCATGCTGTACCTATTCTCATCAGGAACAGAAGACCTTTGGATGATCTAATGATTGGGAACTAGCATTAAATAAACTGAAATCTGTTAAAATTGGAAGGAAGGGGAAAGGAGGAACAAAATGAGATGAATCTGGGTAAACATCACACAATAGAATTAATGACAAG